GCATCCCTGTCTTATTCCTCTGTTAACGTTGAATCTAGGGCTGGTACCATGATTTAGTTAACTGAGCTGTTAATCTGATTGTAAAGTATTCCAACAATATCTATAAATTTGTGTCCAAAACCAAAATATCTTAGTGTTTGCATTATGAATGGGTGCTCAACACAATCAAAGGCTTGATAGAAATCTAAGAATAAAATAAAACCTCCTTCATTAAATAAATCACTATAATCAAGTAAATCTAATACTAGAGAGTTTTACAGTCTGTGTTTAACAAAGTGAAGGTCTAAGCTTATTAATTATTCCTTTATCTTTGCCAGCTTTGGGAATTAATTAACCCTTCGTTCATGCTAGGAGCCAACATGTTTTTCTGTATACATGTGTTCACAGCTCTAAATAAAAGATTTTATATCATTCCAAAAGACTTGATAAAAACTGGATGTAAGACCATCAGTGGTCCCTGTGATTTATTTAACTGTATGTTAAAGACCACCACCTCTCATTCCTCTGGTCCAGGGTCTGATTCACACAGGTTTATACAGGACTCCTCAGTTTGTGGGATGTTATGTTGTATGTTTTCAAAGACACTTTTACAGTCCTCTAATGAAAAGTGAGTGGAATATAAATTAGAATAAATTCAAAAATGTCTCTTTCTATAATCTGACTGTCATTGTTTTCCTCATCATTTATCTACAAAGATGTTATTGAGTTTCTTTGCTCTCTGGTTTTTCTAATCGGCTGAAGTCAGAAGAATTCTTTTCTCCAGATTTGATCCATCTTGTTCTTGATCTAACATAAACTCCCTGTGCCCTTTACAAACATAAAGTATCTAATTTAATTAGTAAATCCATTAGATTCTGACTGTTTGAGTCAGTGGAGTTACACGTCTGATTTCTGTAATTAAGTCACATTCATATTGTGTCTCTTTCTTCTTAAGTTTTTTACAGAAATGAATGTATCTAATCTAATTTTATATTTTAAAAATTCCCATTTATTTATGTAATCTTTGACTGAGTGGTCAG